GTTTCCATAACTTTTAGATTGATTTGTCTATTTGCAGAAGTGCTAGACGTATATTTAATTTTTAGCGTTGACAGAGCCTTTAATGGCCATTTTTAAAGCTATTTAACCTCTAGTTAAAGTTTTAATTTTGTTTTTGAAAGCTTAAATAAAAAATTTTGTATAAAACTTTATTACAGACATGTTGGCGGCCCGGGGTGTTTCGCTGGGGCTCGGGAAGATCAACCTCAGCGACCTGAACCAGTTGCCCGGGGATCGGCAACTACAGGCAGCGGCTTTGGTGAGTGGCTTGTTAGACATAAGCTTAGGCCCGGGCTTATGCTTAGGCTTAGGCATGGTTTCAGCTTGGCATGGGCTTAGGCTTAGGCTTTATGTTAGATTTCAAAATATTTGCGCGGCGGCGCGCACCCTAGGCAACGGCACCAATTTGCAGGCGCGGCGCAAGCAGGAGGAGAAGCAACGGAAACGGCTCCAACCCCGCGTCATCATCAAGAAGAAGGCCGACGCCAAGGTGGGCAGTTTTGAGCAGGGTTTAAAAGACGGCTTGACTTTGATGAATCAACTTCTAACGTTTTTTAATAGGCTTAAGCGTAGACTTAGGTAAGGCTTAGGCTTAGCTTAAGCTTAATCTTACGAATATTTAAATTTCACGTTTTCCAAAACGCGAAAAGCGGATGAATTTTCACGCGTGAAGCCAAAAAAAAAACCCAGCAAAACGCTGAACGTCTCCAGGGCGACGCCGGGGGTGTGTGGGATTAGTTTAAAATTCCCGCCATTCCAACTTTTCGAGGGGGTGACCAGCGTTAATCCGGGGGATAGCCGTCATTTTGGATGGGCCACCTCGCGTTGGGTCGTCTCGATTTCTCTACAAATATCTATCCAAATATTGGGAAATACTGACACCTTGCTATTTGCCGTCTTTACTCGATCTCGTGCATGGTCTCGTCATTTCGGGCTCGAGCCCAATTCTTGGCCTCGTATTATATGGCTAATCAGCAGGTATATTTTTATACGGATGCTGTTACGCATTTACTATAAATATTCCGCAGTTTCCGCTTGTCGAAATTTCATTTTTTCGAAGACTTTTTGGCGGCATTTCATTTTTTCGACATTTTTATTTTGTCGGTATATATTCCGCTGAAACATGTGGAAAATTAAAATATTTTTGAAATGTTTTTTTAGCATGTTCTTTCTGAAAGATCGATATTCTGTGTTTCTCGACAAAATAAAATGCCGACAAAAGAATTTCGACAAAATCAGAAAAATCAATTTCTGCATTTTAATTTACAACAAAATAAAATTTTGCAAACGGTAAATCTCGACAAAATGAATTTCGACCAATTACCTGGAACAAAACCGAAAACCGGAAAACTAAAATGCCGACAACAGAATTTCGACATTCTAATTTTCGACAAAATGCAAATAACCCGGTTTTAAGGTATTATCTGCTGTTTTTCACCGGAGCAGCCTAGCAGAGATCATTTGAGTAACGGTTATCCGAATTCTGACTGTCAATATCGACTTTTCAGCTGCAGGCAGGCTAGCAGAGATTATTTGAGAAATTTTCTGAAAAATTGATCCTATATTTAAATCTTACAAACTTTTTCTGAGCGATACGGTCCTCAATCTAGACCTTTGGAGCACGGCAGGCTAGCAGAGACCAGTTGGGAATTCTGGGGTCCCATGGCCATGGACTAGCTCCGGGTCCAATCCGCAAAACAAGTGCTCCGGGCGGGGGTCGAACCCGCATCCTACGGCTTTCGAGTCCGATGCTCTCCCTATTGAGCTACCGAAGCACGCGGAATGCCTCTCTCCGGGGCAGCTATCCATGCCGGCCCCTCACATCCAACCATCCACCCCCCAGGGATGACTGGTCCCACAGTCATCAGACACTGTGTACCATCCGTCAGAGCCCGGGTGGATCCTTCCGTGGTCGCCAGTTGGGAATTCTGGGGTCCCATGGCCATGGACTAGCTCCGGGTCCAATCCGCAAAACAAGTGCTCCGGGCGGGGGTCGAACCCGCATCCTACGGCTTTCGAGTCCGATGCTCTCCCTATTGAGCTACCGAAGCACGCGGAATGCCTCTCTCGGGGCAGCTATCCATGCCGGCCCCTCACATCCAACCATCCACCCCCCAGGGATGACTGGTCCCACAGTCATCAGACACTGTGTACCATCCGTCAGAGCCCGGGTGGATCCTTCCGTGGTCGCCAGTTGGGAATTCTGGGGTCCCATGGCCATGGACTAGCTCCGGGTCCAATCCGCAAAACAAGTGCTCCGGGCGGGGGTCGAACCCGCATCCTACGGCTTTCGAGTCCGATGCTCTCCTATTGAGCTACCGAAGCACGCGGAATGCCTCTCTCGGGGCAGCTATCCATGCCGGCCCCTCACATCCAACCGACCATTTGGGCGGGATTTCTCGTATACCAAAGCCTTGAGCCGTCCCGGATTCCCCCCAGGGGACCCATCTTGCATATGAACTATTCGACGGGCCCTAACCTATCCACTTTGACTAGCCAGCCCCCAGCTAACAAAGCCCTTTTGAGCACAAGCTTCTAGCTGCTTCATTTTCATAAGGTTTTTTTAAGTCAATATCTTGCATTTTTTAACTTTTATTAATGTCTATAGATCGATATTCGAAAAGTGGACTCATAAGCCTAGGCTGGGCTGGATTTGGGCTTAGGTTTAGGCTTGGGCTTGGGCTAGGCTCAGACTTAGGATGATCATAATATTGGGCTTTGGTTTAAGGTTAGGCTTGGCTTAGCTTAGGCTTGGCTTGGCTTGGCTTAGGCTTAACCTTAGGCACTGGCTTTCGCTTAGGCTTGGGCTTAGACTCACGCTAAGGTTTGGGCTTGGGGTTGTGGTTAGTCCTAGGCTTAGGTTAGGCATCGACTTATGCTTTGGTTTAGGCTTCGGCTGCGGCTTAAGCTTAGGCTTAGGCTTCCAATTCGTTGTTTCGTTAATGCGAAATACCGCCATCAATAATATTTTGAACGCTCTGTCTAGGCAAAATACCCCCGGTTTCATCTGCGGCAAAAGCCAAAATGGCTTAGGTGTCAATATTGGGTCCCTTCCGGGCACTTGACCCATTCGAGTGTCCATCCACCCCATCCTCCACACACCCTGAAATCTCTTGGCTGCCGGCACGAATGGGGCGGAATATCAGCGTGGGAAAGGCATAAGCCTGGGTGGAATCAAGGAAACCCAACGGGCCCTGACATTTCCTTAGGGCCAAGCGTGGGCCAACCGATTACGACGGCTAATTATTCACCCTCGGGGTTCTGGGGCGAGACAAGATGGAGCGCTACGTGGACCCAATTGAATGCGTCATTCAGGTATCAGAGAGAGAGAGAGAGAGAGAGAGAGAGAGAGAGAGAGGGTGTAAACGGTGTTGGGACGAGTCTAGGCTTATGCTTGGTTTCCACTTAGGCTTCGGCTTGACTTAGGCTTATGTTAGGTCTAAATTTGGCTTAGCTTGGCTTACAATTAGGCTTAGACTGAGGATTAAGCTTAGGATTGGCTTGGTTTGGCTGGACTTGGCTTGGATTAGCTTGGTCTGGCTTGACTTGGCTTAGGCTGACGAATAGGCTTAGGCTTAGGTTTAAGATTGGACTTGGATCAGGCTTGGGCTTAGACTTGGCTTGGCTTGGCTTGGCTTGGCTTAGGCTTAGGTTAGGCTTCGGCATATACTTAGGCTGAGGCTTAGGCTTATGCTTAGGCTCAGGCTTAAGCTCAAGTACCTTGTCCGGAAGTGATTCGAACTCAGAATTCTCTTAATTGGCCATAAAACCCTATTTTAAAATTCCTGAGTGTAAAGGACAAGGCAAGCTGGCAAAGACCTTTAAGGAAGTGCAAGTTCAAAGCATAGTCACCCTCTAGCCAACCACCCACTTTTTAGTTATTCATAGAGAGCTTTTCATAGGGAAGAAGGCCGCCTTTCGGGTTTCCGCGCTTCCCATTGATTCTGGACCCTTTAAAGGGCCTTACCAGCTGGTTTTTTACTTTTCTAAGTGACACCATCCCTTTAAAGTCATTCCCCCAGGCACCGTTAATCCCCATTGCTCTCAATTCTCGATTCCGTGGGGCAACACCTTCCCCCATTTCCCCCATTCGTCCAATACGAAGAGAAACGGCCTGGGGAAAATAGGGGGGAATTCGGTTTTCCTTGCACGGCCACCTCTAGAATTCTATTGGATTGTCCAGCCCATCTGGGTCCTTCGCCTTAGGGCCAAATTCTGAAGCTGTCTGGGTTGTTTAAGGTTTTTTAAGGACAGATAGAAGTCAAAAACAGGTTTTGCCGCATTTTCGCAGTCTCTATTGCTCTTTTAGCGGTCTCTCGCCCTCTCTCTCTCTCGCTCGCTCGCTCTCACTCTCTTTTGATAGATCCTATCAAACTAAACAAATTTGATAAAAGTGGCTATCTTTAATTTCATCTTTTTATAGATCTCTCTCACACTATTTCTCTGTATCTCTCTCTCCACCCTCTCTCTCTCTCTCTCTCTCTGTCTCTCTCTAGCTCACACACACACTCTCTCTCTCTCTCTCTCTCTCTCTCTCTCTTCTCTCTCTAGCTCACACACACACTCTCTCTCTCTCTCTCTCTCTCTCTCTCTCTCTCTCTCTCTCTCTTTCCGCCAACCCTTGTAATCCGTCCGGAATTCCGCTCCATTTCAAATCACATTTTTCGTTTTCGTTTTTTAAGGGCAATGTCCCTAATCGACGCCCACCGTCTCTTATATAGCGACTACGAACTGTGCTCTGAACAGCAGCACCAGCTGGTAAAAAATAAAAAATAAGATTAATTAGGTAATTAAAGTCAAAATTAAATTTTTTTCATCGCATATAAGATGCTTGAATTTTACGAATAAGAAAAAGCGAAAAAAAATGGGTAAAGCCAAGTTTATCTCATATAATTTTTTTCAATCCAGTTTCGTTTCAGACAGTCTGGGCGGCATGCCGGGCGGTGATCTTCGGCTGCATCATCATTTCGGTGGGGTTGGGCATGACGGCGCTCGGGTATTTCGACAAAACCCTCAGCCAGGTGATCCCATCCCTTTAAAATTTCAAAACCAAAAAATTATTTTAGTACCAAGTCCTGAATAACGGGACGGCAGAGGAGAAGACCGACTTTGTGATAGCCTATCAGTTGAAGAGCCTACAGTATATCGGTATGGAAAAATCAAAAAATTAAGATTAATTAATTTTAGGCCCTGTCCTGATGGGAATCGGCACGTTTATCCTGATTATAGCGTGTGTGATCACGTTGGAGAGCCGGGATAAACATGCACAGGTAGGGCAAACTAGCAGAGAGTTTTGAGGAAGCGAGGGCAGACTAGCAAAGATCATCAAGGAAACGAGGACAGGCTGGCTAGCTACAGGTTCTATCGCATTATCGGGGGGGGGGGCGAACTTTTTGGTAAAATTCTAGCCTATTCTAAATTTTTTGTTAAAATTTATGTCGAGAAATGCCTAGCAACTTAATAGAAAGTGTGTTTATAGTATTTTTAGTAATGTATAACTATATTCCAACCAGAAAAACTATTTAAAAACCTTTTAAAAATTCAAAATTTTGGTAAAAATTCCGTCATTTTTGGCCGAAACATCGATATTTTTGATATTTTTAATAAAATTTGTAACATTTTCACGTTTAGGAACAGTGAAAAACCATTTCAAACCACTTCCACTATTAATATTTGAAGAATTAGATCCTGAGGAAAATAAAGGCTTGTTTCTTTTTGAAGAAGCAAGGGCAGGCTAGCAGAGATCATTGAAGAAGCGGGCAAGCTGGCAGAGATCATTCAAGAATTCCAGGTAATCCACGAGGAATCTCAAGAAATCCGGAAGCGCCGTCTGCTCTCCGACGACAAGGAGCAATTAATCGAAAGGAACGAGTCGGCAGATCAGACTTCGATACCTACCGTATCCCTCCGGGAATCGCGGCGGGACTCGCGGATGTCGAGGACGAGCACTGAGAATACGGGGTTGGTTTTGGGTGTGCTAAGATGATTTAAAGGGACTCGAAAGGCAAAAATTAGATAGATTTTGAACTGCGAAGAAGTCGCCAGATCAATGGGTTCTGGACTGTTAGCGGGGGGTAGCTGGGGTTACCTAATCTTTTTCCGTGATTTTCTAAGGCCAAACAACAAAATATAAACCATTTTTATATCATTTTACACGGCTTTTAGATATAAAAACAACATAAAAAATAAAAGTTTTCGAAATACTTTTTGGTCAAAATGTTTGAAAAATGACAAAATTAAAGAATTTTATATGGTTCTAGCATTCAAAAACTATTAAAAACACTATAAAAATACGTAATATATCATCAACAAATGGAAAAACAGAAATTGGTTCATCTCCCAAAAATTCCCCCGCTAACAGTTCAGAGCCATAAAGGTACTTTTTTTTCAGCTCCCCGCTCTTCGCCCGAATAGCTCGACCTCCGAGCTTCGGCCCGGCTCCCCTGGCAGTGCTTGAAGAGAGCCTGAACATTTCCTTGCGGTCCCTTGATGAAAATGACAACACTTCCGCGAGTGAACGCTGACGTACTTCCGCTTATCGACTGTAAAAACTGTATTCCTGTCTTGATCTTCATATTGCTACGGGTCACGTGATAATGGTGCAAATTCTGAATAAATTCATTGCCTTTCTGGTGTTCTATTAATGCAACAATTTCCGGAAAAAATTGCTGCTAGCCAGCCGTTTCGTAAAAAAGCGGACATGGTAATCGGCCGGGCCGCGCATCTTTTTCGGCCGCAAAAATTAGAAGCGGCCGGGCCGCGCGGCGCCGCACTTCCGGCGCGGCCGCGGCTTTTTCTGTTTGAGGCCGCACGGCGGCCAAGCCGCGCGGCCTTTAAGGCCGCATCCAAATGAGTTTTGAGTACTTCCGGTACGCAAATCAGAGATGCAATGCGGTTTTTGGCTTGCCAACGAGGAATATCCATACTCGACAACCTTAATTTTCTCATTTCCATTGCCATTTCGCATGAAATTCGCAGATTTTTAGTATGTAAATGAGCAACTTCCGGTTTGCAGCTTGGCCGCGGCGGCCCGGCCGAGCCGCGATCAAAATGCGGCTCCTGCCGGCAAAGCCGCATTTCCGGAAGTAACTAATTACGGCGGCTCGTAGGGGGTCGCATTTTTTATGGAAATTAGGCCGCCGGCCCGGCCGCACGGCTCGGCCGATCGGAATTGCCATGTCTCTAGAAAAGGTTTAAAAGGCTTGACAGGCTTAAACTTAGGCTCCGGCTTAGACTTCAACTTCAGCTTAAGCTGGCTTAGGAATCAGCTTGGGCTTAGGCTAGGGATTGGGCTTCGCTTAGGCTTCCCTAAGACATCGCTTAGGCTTATGCTTAGGCCAAGGCATCGCTTAGGCTTAGGCATGGGCTTTGCTTAGGCTTAGACTTATACTTAGGCTTCGTTTAGACTTTGACCGAGGCTTAGGCTTAGCTTCATCTTATCGAGCTTCGGTGAACAATACCAGACAAAGCTTTGATCACCCAATCTTTATCAGACTTTTCCGACCTCTTCTAATTCTGATTTCTGTGTATATTTGCCATGAAATTGCCATGGGAATCAAAATGGGGGCCCGTGGGCCCCATTTCCCGTCGGTCGTCATCTAATAAGTGTGACAGGGCCCCCCGTTTCACCTTTTTTTGAGTCGGGTCTCCCGAGGCAACACGGATTTTTTGGGGGCCGCTACTAGCAGATAGTGGAATTTTTCGCGGGCCCCGAACGATGTGCTCCTAATTACGCGCCACAAAGGATCTTTGCTAGCTTGCCTGCAACTTCAGGGAGGCCAGGAGCCGTCTACTCTCTCTCTCTCTCTCTCTCTCTCTCTCTCTCTCTCTCTCTCTCTTCTCTCTCTTCTCTCTCTCCTCCATCACCTCCCCTTTAGCCCTCCCATTAATGCATCGATGTCTTCATGCGTCATCGTGCACTCCGGTGTGAATGAGGGAGTCTCAAGGCGGGTCCAACCTGGCGTCGAGCTCATCGATGCCGACTTTTCCGCCACGCTGCGTCAGCTGCAGGGTAAATGAAGATCCCTGGCTACGCTACGCTCCTTTAGACGCGGTTCAAGCCAAAACGTCGCGAGGATTGGTCCGGAATTGCGGGCTGAGCATACAGTGTGGGGATGGGCGGCTGGCATTGACGAATGATCCGAATACGGTGAGTACGTTGGCGCGTAGCTCAGGCTTAGCTTAGGCTTAGGACGAGGTCTATGCATAGGCTTTGGCTTAAGCTTAGGCTTATGCTTATGCTTTGGCTTACCTACTAATAACACAAGTTCAGATAGTGGACGCAAAAACGGCGCTTCGAAAAGGCTCACCAACCCGGCGATTCTTCGCCTGGCTAATTGGGGAGCGGCTGGCCGACGGGTCATTTTTGGACTTCTTTCTGGTCAGGTAAGCTTTCTGGCATTTTCGCATGCAAATTTAGCGCTGTCGAAAACTGTGCGCAACTTGGGATCATTCTGCAGAGCCTCTCCGTGAAAAAGGTGATTTTTTTAGGTCAAAAAGCTTTTAGGTTAAAAATGTTGTCAGGCATATCTCTCGCGTCCTTCTCCCCCCCTCTCTCTCTCTCTCTCTCTCTCCAACCATCTCTTCGGCTTGGCTTCTCCAAGGATCTCCGCAACCTTGCCGTTTTCCCGTTTTCCCTGATTAAAAAATTTCTATAGGTTGTCTCCGCTCCTTTCATACGGTACAGCCTTTCCTAAATGGTCTCTGCTAGCCTGCCCGCTTCTGTGTGTTCAACAATTTCTGCTAGCATGCCTCCCGTTATCAGTAATGCGCGAAGCCAATTCCCCCATGATCCCTGCTAGCCTAGCCCCCAAATTCGCGATTCCCTTCCACTCCTATTGACAGTCTACCCCCTCAGTCTCTGTGGAATAATAGAATTCATTTGATTGTAAGTTTTCCGTAACCCTTCTTTCCGCCTTTTTCGGGTTCCTTGACAACCGCCCTATTTGCCCCCACTCAACAACCCAGAAAAGAGACACACACCGGAAAACACGGATGGATTTCCACGACTTGTTCGGGTGATCACGTCTCTCACTCTCTCTCTCTCTCTCTCTCTCTCTCTATCTCTCTCTCTCTCTCACTCTTTCACCCGCTCTCTTGCTATCTCTCGCTCTCTCTCTCTCCCTCTCTCTCCCTCTCTCTCTCCCTCTCTCTCCCTCTCTCTCCCTCTCTCTGTCTCTCTCTGTCTTTTTCTCTCTCTCGCTCTCTCTCTCCCTCTCTCTCTCTGTCTCGCTATCTCGATTTCTCTCTCTCTCGCGCTCTCGCCTCTCTCTCTCTCTCTCTCTCTCTCTCGCTCTCGCATTCCAATTAACTGGGCACCCCATATTTTCCCTGGCGCTGGCCCCATTTTGGGGTCCCGCCTGGAAAAACAGAAAACCGCGAGTAATTGCCGTGTCATAAGGCGGAATAACAAAAAATTTTGCATATCTGGTGCTGGGTTACGGTAGTTTTTTATTGGAATCACCGTTATCGTCGTTAAATTAGCGTTTTCCAGCTGTTCCGATACATTTAAAATTTTTACGAGCCATCCCCCAGCTGTTACCATCCCTTTAAACCCCTTGTTCTATAGGTCTCCATCCGCTTCATCCCTCGCTTCACTGCCCCGGATATCCAGCCACACAACAGGTACCTTAAAGACTACCAGAACGATGGAACGCGCACTGTCACCCCGAGGGTGCTGCCCCCAAGAACGCGCAGAGAGGGTCGTCATTAGTGGTGTCCCGTTTTGGGCAAGGACCCTCTGGGGTTTGGGGCGCCTCTGACTCCCTTCCCCACTTGGCCCTGTGGTATAGTGGCTAGCGCCTCGGACTGTGGAGCGAACCATCGCGGGTTCGACCCCCGCCCGGTGCGCAACTTTCTTGCTCTAAACGATATTTCATCGTTCTGGCGGTCTTTAAATCGAACATTCCTGACTACGCGACGCTCCTCTAGACGGATCGTTGCCGTCTACTTCAAACTGTCGCAGTTGCGGAATGGGGTCGAGGCGGAGGTGTTTCGCATCCCCTCCGCCATATCCAACTACGAGCGAATACGGGTTGTTGGTAAAGGTAGGTTATAGGCTTGGCTTGGCTCAGGCTTGGCTTAGGCTTGGCTTAGGCTTGTCTTTGGCTTCGGCGTATGCTTAGGGCTTAGGCTTAAGCGTCGTTTCGCTTCGCGTAGGCTAGGCTTATGCCTCGCTTAGGTTTACGCTTAGGCCTCGTCTTTGGCTTAAGCTTAGATTGTAGGCTTCTGCTTAGACCTTATAGGCTTAGGCTTAGATCTAGCGCCATAACTTATCCACATGTTTTCAGGAGCTTTCGGAGCTGCCGTACTATACCGACGACGAGAAGATGAGACGCTGGTAATCATAAAAGAAATTAGCATGCATCAGCTAGCTGCCACGGAGCGTCAATTGGCTAAAAACGAGGTGAGTCGCATGGCCGCTACGTTCTGAATCCATTTAAAGGGCTTGTGAAGGCAGATTTGAAAAATTCTCGGTGATCCAAGACAATAGATTAACTTTCCGGGTACCTTTAGGCGCAAAAGGAATCATTTTTGAAGGTAGAAGTCCTGTCCCGGATGGAACATCCCCATATCGTCAGCTACTTCGACTCGTTCGAGGAGGACGGGCTGTTGCTCATTGAGATGGAATATGCCGATGGAGGGTTAGTTCGAGAATGGGAGCTAGCTTAGGCATAGGCTTAGGCTTATACATAGGCTCAAACTTACCCTTCCAGAACCCTGGCCCAGTTCCTAATGGCTTGCACCGACTTCATCGCCGAGGAAACCATCAGCGGACTTTTTGAGCAGATCTGCTCGGCTGTGGCTTATTTGCATGAGAACAATGTGTTGCACCGGTAAATTCTAAATTTTTGAGTAATCTTGCCGTTGGTTACTGTAGCTTTGCCACCATTTAGGGACCTAAAAACGGCCAACATCTTCTTGACCCAGGAGGGCGACGTGAAGATTGGAGATTTTGGGATAAGGTAATTTAATAGGCCTAGGCTTAGGTTTGTGCTTAGGTTTAGGCTTGGCTTGGCTTAGGCTTCTGCTAGTCTTTGGGATTAGGCTTAGGCTTAGGCTTAGAATGAGACAATCACGAATTTTAGCAAGCTGATGGGCGCTGACACACTCTCTAAAGGTGCTACGACACTAGTTGGAACTCCACATTATTTGAGCCCGGAAATGGTAGGGAATTCGCTGCCTGTCTCTCTCTCTCTATCTCTCTCTCCCGCTCTCTCTCACCTCCCATTTCCAGTGTGAGGGCAAGCCGTACAACGAAAAGTCTGATATGTGGGCGATCGGGTGCATTTTGTACGAAACGATGTGCTTGGCCAAGGCATTCGATGCTGATTCGCTGCCCGCGCTTGTCAACCGCATATGCAAGGTATGTGTTGTGTCTTGCCAAAGTGTGGTGCGCAGCGGGACGAACAGTTTACGAACAACTGTTTATTCGGTGAGCAACATGGCGGCAAGAGGAGGAGAAATTAGAACCGAATTGGAACTGGGGAAATAAATGCCATCGCTGGCCCAGTGGGGAGAGAGACCCCGCTACGGTGGAAAGGGCACTGGATAGGCGAGGGGCCGGGGGCGAAGGGAAAAGGCGGGGGCGCTCGAAGGCGCTCCGCAACACCTCCCCCTGTACAAACGAAAAAGAAAGGAAATGTGAATAGGAGAGGAGACATCAAAGGAAAATGTACAACTGCGTACAGCAAAACGAAGGATCAAATCACAACGTAAAACAAGTCAAACTTATTTGCTTTTTCCTTTATTAATTGGCGCGCGCAGGGCTGAGCCTCCTTCCTTCCTTCCTTCAACGTTCGACGATGCTTCACCAAGGTAGACGGCGACTTGCGGCACGACCTCCTTCCCTCTTTGCAGGAATGACGAGCCTGATCTTGCCGCTCCATGTCGACGGGCTGGCTGGGGCACCGTCCGCCGAGCTGCTGCATCAGACTCGGTCTTCGCGATGGGCCTCTTCCGTAGAGGTGATCCATCGGCCGGCCGCTCGCTGTAGTGGCGCGCCGGTCTTCTCGACTACAAACCGTCGGAGGTTGCCGGGGGCTTTTCAGAAAAGCCTGGGTCCCGGTCTTTCAGGCTACAGACGGCCGTAACGTCGCCGGCGCCTTTTCAAAAAAGTCGGCTTTCCGGTCTTTCCAAGACAGGCCTCTTCCATAGAGGTGTACCATCTGCCGGCCGCTCGCTGTAGTGGCGCGCCGGTCTTTCTCGACTATCAACCGTCGGAGGTTGCCGGCGCCTTTTCAAAAAAGTCGGCTTTCCGGTCTTTATACGACGGGCCTCTTCCATAGAGGTGTACCATCTGCCGGCCGCTCGCTGTAGTGGCGCGCCGGTCTTTCTCGACTATCAACCGTCGGAGGTTGCCGGGGACTTTTCAAAAAAGTCTGCTTCCCGGTCTTTAAACGACGGGCCTCTTCCATAGAGGTGTACCATCGGCCGGCGGCACTCGGTAGTGGCGCACCGGTCTTTCTCGGCTATAAACGGCCGGTCGTTGCCGGGGACTTTTCAGAAAAGTCGGCGTCCCGGTCTTTCAACGGCTATAAACGGCCGGACGTTGCCGCGGGCTTTTCCAACGTGAAAAGACACCGCGGTCTTTTTCTTCTTTCCTTGAAGAAGTCGCGGCCGGCCTTGACGGAGTTCCAGTGGGCGAGCGGCAGCCGGATGCCGCGTAGTTGACCCATTCGTCGTGGCCTTCTCTGCATTTCTTGTCGTCCTTGGCTGGAGACATCCTTCCTTCCTTCTTGCGCTTGAGGGCGAAGACGGCGCGCTTCGACTTGGTCCTTCTTGTCGACGGGCATGGCCACGCGATCCGGGCACATAGAAAGTGCGAAGGCCAAATAGGGGCAAAAAGACTTCCCTTTCAATCGAATCCTCCATGGGATGACGCCGCTTCTTTGCCATGTAGAGCTTCTTGTCCTTGCGCTTGATCCACATCTGCTTGACCAACTTGTCCTTGACTGGGCGGCGGCTTGAGCGGCTGCTTCTTGGCTTGGGCTTTTCCTGATGTTGCGTGAGTTCGGAATCCTTGATCGCCAGTTGTTGTCCTTCCTTCTTGCGCTTGAGGGCGAAATCTCATCCTGCTCGCCAGTTGTTGTGTCTTGATAGAGTGTGGTGCGCAGCGGGACGAACAGTTTACGAACAACTGTTTATTCGGTGAGCAACATGGCGGCAAGAGGAGGAGAAATTAGAACCGAATTGGAACTGGGGAAATAAATGCCATCGCTGGCCCAGTGGGGAGAGAGACCCCGCTACGGTGGAAAGGGCACTGGATAGGCGAGGGGCCGGGGGCGAAGGGAAAAGGCGGGGGCGCTCGAAGGCGCTCCGCAACAGTATGGATGGTACCTTACAGGATCAACTATAATAAAAAAGTAGAGGCGTCCGTCTGTCTGTCTGTCTGTCCGTCGTGTCCCGGATTCAACTCGAAGGGGAAAGGAGCTAGAGCTTAGGTCTCTTCGGATTCGGATAGAGCGTGGTCAGAAACCCCCAAACTGATCAAAAAATTATCAAAAAGTTTTAGTTTAAATTATTAAAATTAACTTTGAAAGTGGCGCCTTAATAAAACGGGTGGGGGCCCCTTTCCCGGGAGGCCACGCCCCCTTTCCTTTCGCCCCTCTTCCCCAGGCCCTTTCCCGCGCCCAAATAGCTTTTTAAGTTACTTTAATACTTTTAATACTTTTTAATTATGTTAATTTATTATTTAAATCATTTAAAGTATCGGGATGGAATCTAAGTAGTTTTTGAAGGGGATTTCGGCTAGGGGAGGTATCTGAAGCCATCAGGAACGTATCTAAGTAGTTTTTGAAGGGGATTTCGGCTATGGGGGGTATCTGAAGCCACCAGGAAGGTATTTAGGTAGTCTTTGAAGGAGATTTCGGCTATGGGGGTATCTGAAGCCATCCGAAAGGTAGCTATGTTTTTGTGGGGGGGTTAGCTAGAGGAGATATCTGAAGCCATCAGTGTAGGTATTGCCGGGAAGGCATCAGCGTAAGGTGGGGATGAAATGTGGTGGTGTAGAATATGGAGGGTAGCCCGAAGTCCAGCCGATTGCAGTCGCGAAGCGGCTGTAATCGGCTGGTAAGATACCTAATTCTAGTCTCAATACGAGCCAGTCCGGGGCCCATATTCAAATGGGATGAAGCTGCTGGTGCGGGATTTGCTGTCACTGGAAGCTGCTTCAAGGCCCAAGGCTAGTGCGGCGCTGCAGGTTCGTTAGGCTTAGGTTTAGGCTTAGGCTTAAGGTTATGCTTAAGCCTGGGCTTAGGTCCGGCTTAGGCTTAAGCTTGTTAGACCTAGGCTAATGCTTAAGCTTATCCTTTTTCCGCTTTCAGCGTCTAACCCGTGGCCGAGTTACCGTACCATTCCGTCCAAAGCTGCGTGGCGGAAGCGCCAGATCCACGCTTTACCGTATGGATTTGTCGACGATGGGCCTGGAGCCGATTGATGGACTGCCGGCGAAGACGCATATTAGACAGGTTTCAAGCTTGGCTTGGGCCTAAGCTTGGGCTTAGGCTTAGGCTTGGCTTGGGCTTGAGCTTAAGCTTGGGCTTAGGCTTCGGCTTACTTAAGCTTACCATCGGGCTTGGGCTTAGGCTTAGGCTTACAAGGGAACCTCAAGTTGGCACGGTGGAGTTTCTAAAAACGCTCGCGGCTACCCCTAGGTTTTCGACTATGGCGATTCCAACGCTGTAGTCAGAATTTCCTAAGGAGGCCTCCGGACAGAGATACAGCACCTCCGGAAAATGACGATTTACATCCGAAAAATTAGCATTAGCGATAGGTTTATGAGGCCCTCACATCACTATGCAATCACCAGTTGAATGGCGGAGTGGTAAGCGACTCGCTTGATAGAATACTGACGAGGGTACGGATCCGCTCGCCATTTTTTATTTTGTTTTGTGTTCAGAATTTTCTGCCCAACTCCAAGTTTTCATTTTTAATATAGGAAAACTTTTTGATTATTGCCCCTGAACCTGCCTGACTGCTCCAAAGTAGTCTCAAAATTCGAAAAATTTTTATATAACGGCTCGGTGTTCTCATCTCCGTTTTTTTTTAGAAATGGGTTTCTATGATGGACCGGACAAGATTTTTTGTCTAATTGCTTTGCTAATACTTTTAGACATTTTAGAAAGAGAACGAATTTTCGAAAAAAATAGCCAAAACTTGGAGTTGGGCAGAAAATTCTGAACACAAAACAAAATAAAAAATGGCGAGCGGATCCGTACCCTCGTCAGTATTCTATCAAGCGAGTCGCTTACCACTCCGCCATTCAACTGGTGATTGCATAGTGATGTGAGGGCCTCATAAACCTATCGCTAATGCTAATTTTTCGGATGTAAATCATCATTTTCCGGAAGTGTTGTATCTCTGTCCAGAGGCCTATTTAGGAAATTCTGACTACAGCGTTGGAATCGCCATAGTCGAAAACCTAGGGGGTAGCCGCGAGCGTTTTTAGAAACTCCACCGTGCTAACTTGAGGTTCCCTTGTTAGCCTTAACCTCATGCCCAGGCTCATGCTTTATCTAGGTCTCCCTCAGCTCGAACCATTTCCTCGCCGTGTGCTCGAGCGGTGAGGTTTACTCCTGGGGGGAGAACGGCATCGGGCAGCTCGGCCTTGGGGATACGGTATAAAATGTCACGCTAACTTGGTGATCGCCATTTTTGAGAAATACCGTAGCAGCCCAACGCGGATGGAGTCGTTGCGCGAGATGCGGATACAGTGTGCGGCTGCTGGACGGGGTTTTTCGTGAGTTTTTCGGGTTTAAAGGGATGGTGACAGGAGCAAAAATATTGTGTCAAAAAGAACTTAAAATTCGTTAAAATGTGATAATTATTTTTTAGAATATTCTGCGCTGATCGGGGTACGGTATGGATGTGTGGAGAGGGTGGGATGTGTCAATCTGGGGAGGGGTCCCGGCTCGTCTCACCTTGTATTCTCGACGCGTTATTTAGGTAGGTTGAAACCGGTTTTCCTCAATGATCGCTGCTAGCTTGCGCTTGATTGTAAAAGTTCCTAAATGATCCATGGTAGCCTGCCCTCGCTTCCTCAATGATCTCTGCTAGACGGCCCTCAATTCCTCAAAAATCTCTGCCGGCCTGCCCTCGCTCTCCCAATGGTCTCTGCTAGCCTGCCCTCACTTTTCCTCAATGATCTCTGCTAGCTTGCGCCTGTTTCCTCAATGATATCTGCTAGCCTACCCTTCTTTCCTCAATGATCTGTGCTAGCCTGCCATCACTTCCTCAATGATCTCTGCTACCCTACCCAATTTCAGCACAAACGTCCTGGAAGTAGCCTGCGGAGATGAGCACGTGGTCGTGCTCTGTGAGGGTGGCGGTGTATGGGGCTGGGGGAAGGGCCATGGATGGACGTTGAAGCCGGCACAGGTAAGCTTTCAGCTTTAACGCGACAGGCCTGAGCTTCATCCTATAAGTCCCTTCAAAACGCTACAGTACTGTAGAAAATGTGGACTAAAAATTCCTGTAAAAATTCACCTTTAGATCGACATTCCCACCCCGTCAAGTGTGGTGGCAGTGCGCTGCGGACCGGATGCTAGTGCACTTTTGACAGGTTTGAACTAAAAACCTTGTTCAGTTAATTCCGAAACTTTCCAGTCGATGGCGCACTAATCGCCTGGGGCGCCAACCGGAACAACAAGTTGAATCTGGCGCAACGGCAGGGGTTCTTCTCGAGGGAGGCCAAGGCAAGTCGTGCTTACTTTGGGTTTGGTTTGGGCTATAAGTAGGCTTGGGCTTGGCTTTTTAGGCTTAGGCGTTGGCTTCGGCTTAGGCGTAGGCCCAGGCTTAGGCCTAGGACTAACGCACACTCTAGCTACTGCAACGTCCTGTAGCGCACTGTACTGTACTGAAACGTACTGAAGCGTACAGTAACGTCCGGTGTACAGAACACCAAATTCAGAACGCATTCGATTATATCGAGAAGCCGACAGTCGTCAAGGGATTTCCGGGACGTGTTGTGGATGTAACGATCGGAAGGCATCACACAGGAGGTGAGAGAGCCAGCGCGTGGGAGAGACAGGGGGGCCGGGAGGGGGGGGAGAGAGAGAGAGAGAGAGAGAGAGAGAGAGTCCAACACCAAAACTTACAGTAATCCTCGACTCGGGCCATGTTCACCTGTTCGGTCGGAACGTTTGGGGAGAGCTGGGCATCGGCGGACTCGGCACCGTACCCCAACATGCTGCTCATTTTCCCGTCAAGGGACTTTTACAGAAGACCGTTCTGGTGAGCACCATCCTATTATCCAGAAAATTAATTAGTGTCAGAACCCATAAAGCTCTTTTTCTTTTTTTGCCTTCAGCGCTCCTTTAACGCAGTTTAAAGGGACGCTGAAGACCAAATCAAAAACGTTGCCTTTGTAGCACGTCGTCTGCGGGGAGGGCTACTCGCTAGCGGCCACCGCCGAGCAGGAATTGTTCTTCTGGGGGAGCAAGGGGATCAAGATTGAGGAAACAGCGAAGGAGGCCACGCCCACTCCACAAAAGTGAGCACGAGATTTTGGGGGGAATTTTGGATTGCTTAGGTGTGGTGAAAAGACTGGGATGCCTGTTCATCATCTGGTGCCACATCCATCGTTGGTATTACGGTAAGTGGGGGAAAGAGAGAGAGAGAGAGAGAGAGAGAGAGAGAGAGAGAGAGAGAGAGGGAAAGAGGGGGGGGAAAAAAAAGGGAAAAAGGGGGGGGGGGGAGAAAAAGAGGAAGGGAGAGAGAGAGGGGGGGAAAGAGAGGGAGGGGGGGGGGGGGGGGGGAGAAGAAAAAAGAAAAGAGAGACAGAGAGTTAAAGGTTGTTGGAAAGCGATATTTCCAGAGAAAGGGGGAGAGAGAGGGAGAGAGAGAGAGACATAGATAGAGAGATAGAGATACAAAAATCTAAAGAGTCATTTCCAGCTTGGACTCCTCCCCCTCGTCCGGCATCCGCATCAACATCTCCGGTCTAGTGGCTGATGGGCGTACAGCCCTCCTCCTTATCGATACCGTGGCCATTCGTGAAGCCCCTTCCGCTGCCCCGACCTCGTCAAGGTTTGTATGGGTTCCTCCTAGCCCCCTAATTACAGCCTCCCGGAATAATCAGGGGATTTCTTCAGGTATTCCAGGACCCCAATCTCTGCCAATTTCTATTTTAAGACCAAAATTCCCGCCTGAAATACGCAACAATTCGTTTTCCAGCGCCCGCACCGTGCCGGCGCCGCGCCGAGTGTCCGCGGTGGCCAAGCAGAAGATCAGCTCCGATTCGGACCCGACGGCGGTGAGTTTGAGACAAGATGACCTCTGCTAGCCTGCCAAAAATTTACGAGGAATAGCGCAAACGCCAGGCAAGCTAGTATATATCTTGTAGGAATTCTCAGGTTGCATTGGAAATCCTTGCACTACTTTCCCCAAGAATCCCTGCTAGCTTGCCCTGTTTTGCACGAGAGGAAATTTTCAAAATTTTTTTCCATTGTAATACATTAGTACTCGATTAATTTAAACTAACGATTATGAAAAATCCACCGGTTCACCAAACCCAATTTTTTTTGCCCTACGCCTCCTCGTAATTACCTGGTTTCCGGTGGAAATCAGGCCCAATTTCCTCGGGGGTTGGCTCACGCCCAAAACGCCGCGGAAAAATTCACATTTCGCCCGAAAAACGCCGACAACTCCGCTAAATGCCGAAATTTTCGGTGGCCACGTGGTTGCGGCGGGAGATGGACGACGCGACGTTCATTGCGCATCGGCGGAATTCGGCTGATGGACGAGTGGGCAGCAGGTGGGCTTGAAAATACGTTTAAAAGCATGGAGATCTTTACTAAAGGTAAAACCGTGTAGCCGGGGATCAATTACATTAAATATGTCTAAAATTGAGATACCGGAGCGCAAATCATCCTTTTAAAAGTCGAGAAATAGACAAAAAAAATCAGTGATTTGACAGCAAAAAATCGAAAATTAAATTTAGAAACCAAAACTCGAGCCGTTGATAGCTTGTAAAAAACGAGCAAGCTAGCAGTGACAATTTAGAAAGTCGACCAGGAACTAATTAAACTACATATTTTTAAATTAAGATGATCGGGAACAAATTATGCTGCAAAATTCCAAAAAAAATAGAAAAGCCAGCGTTTTAGTACAAAAACTACCAATTCTGCGCTAGCACTAGTCTAAAAAAGGCAAACAAGCAGAGACAATTTGAAAAACCGATACGCCGCTGAAATCCCGGCTCACGCAATTTTGTTCAGCAAAAAAGTGGTCGTCGTGGCGAACAAGGAACGCCGCTTCTCCTCGCAACAGCGCCAACAGCACGGCCACACTGTCACCGGCATCCAGGTAACCTGCTCTACAATTTCCTAAAGAATCTCTGCTAGTTCACCCTATAATAAAGCCCAATCTCTCATTTAAAGCCGAAGAAACAAATGCCGGCCGTCGACGCGCCGCCAAAATATGAGGACTTGGCGCCGAGGGTGGGCCGCCCCGTCAAGAGCACCACTTGTACAATTCTGTAATGATTATAACAATAATATTATTATCTTACTTTCTAAACACCAAATTCCATCGAAAAACTGTGATTTCGGCCCTGGTGATCAACGTCTCTCAAGTTTCCACGCTATTTTGTGCCTTTTCCGCTGAATATTCTGTATTTACTGACGACAACCATATCGACACCGCCTAAATGTGATTAAATATCGTTAACGAAGCTTTTATTAAACGGTTTACATGGAATGGGCGATTTCAAATCACACAAAGAATACAATTCGCAACGGAAGTGAAGGAAAAACTGGTGTGGCCCCAACCAACAAGAACTGCAAGGCACTACACAAAAATAACAATCGTAACAAATGAAGATCATTTACGATACGATGAATAAAGTCTAACATTAAAACCTTGGCAAGTCTGAATATTTTAAGAGAATAGGAATTCTTTAGAAATCATCGATTCACTTTTTCATCGCCGCGTAGTGCTGGGCAATTTGGGTAAGATGGGTGTAGGAAAGTTGCTCAGAGCCCAGGGTACGCGGTTCCCTAGAAAATAGGTTTTAATTATAGTTTGTTGATCTAGAAATTAAATAAACCCCCTACATTTTAAAATTGTTAAAAACTCACTGCGCACTTGCCCATAACGCTGTCCTGACGATTGACGCTCTATCTTCATCGTTTTCCGCCGCATCGAGGTTCCTGAAAAATAACTAACAATAAAAAAACAAGGGAAAACGTACAGTGCAGATAGCGCACTCGCTTCCGCCCTGTCATGCGCATCCAGGAATGAGAACATCGTCAGATCGAGCCCATCTGCGACACTGGAAAAGATGATTTTATAAGTAAAAAAGCGGTTGGATAAAATAAAGGACATGAAAAAGTTTCCAACCTTTCTTGGGCGACTTTCTTGGTTGGCTGGACATATGAAATCCCAGTCGGCTCGACTCTCGGCACATTTTCGATGCTTTTCACCGGCTCCGCCGGTTTTATAACGATCTGCTTAGCAGGATCCACCTTTTGTGCAACTTCAACTTGTTTGACCGACTGCACAACAGCCTTCTCCACTTTTTGAGCAGCCTTTCTCGCAGCTACCTCCGCCTTGATGACCTCACGTACCAATTTGTCGACGCACTGAGCGGCAGCGGCCTCTTGCTCATCAGCCGTCTCAACCTTCGGCTCCTCCTCGATTTTCTTCTGCATAACGTGCCATAACTTGTCTTGGCGAACGCCGATCGTTCCGCCATTTTCCGACGGCGCTTTTGTAGGTACAGCCACATTTTTCGGCTCAAAAACTGGCCGTTGGGTGCCTCGGGCGGCCCGCTCGGATCCGCGAACATTTTCATTTCCTCTGCCCCGATTGGCACCTTGGCCTCGCGCCGGATTCTGCATCGGCCTTTGATTCCGGCCACGCGCGTCCGGATAGTTTTGCCAATTTTCCGCGTATCCATTCGAATACGGCTGCCCATAGTAATGATTATATCCATGCTGATATCCGTTTTGTGGCGGACCATAGTGCTGCTGCTGGAATTGCCAATTCGTGCTTTGTTGAGGCGGAGCGGCCGCTTGGTTCTGCCGTTTCTTGACCCGATCTGGCTGCAAAATTCCGGTGGGCCGAAACTCGGGCTCTTCATTTTTCGGCTTATCTTTTTTCTGACGAACATTCGCCGGTTTTTCACGTGCAATCTCGATTACCGGCTCGACGATCGTTTCTGAATCAGTAACAACAATTTCTGGGATATCCACCGGCTCCAAAACAACGACAGGCTGCGGGGATGCCATTTTCGGCTCCACCTCGGCTTCTTCATCGCCGTGTTCCATAATCGGGTCCATCTTTTCGAGGGCTTTTGCGGTTTTCCGCTTCAACGGATTCTTCAGCTTGATCTTTTTCGCGATTTTGTTGAAAAAGCCATCACCTTTTGACGGTTTCGCGGGTGCGGAGCTTGATGCGATAGGAGCGGCGTTTTCTTCTTTATCCTTGACAGCTGGCTCTTTTGCCGAAAGCGGAAGAGGTCCAGGTAATTCACTATTTTTCGTTTCGGATTTACTCGCTGCAGGGGTCGTAGGAACTGCAATCGAAGCTCCTGGTTTTGAAGGCGTATCATCAATTTCATCGTGTACGGGCGCAAAACACGGCTCGATTAGTGTTATCTCGGGCCCGTCCACATCAACAGTGTATTTTTGCGGGGCGGTGTTCAAATTCTTGGCAGCTGCGATGGCCGACTTGAGCCCGGCAGCCATCTCGTCTTCAGTTTTGCGATTGTTTTCCCGTTTTGTCGCGCCCCCACGCCGCTGGCCGGTGGTCCGTGGCTGAGCGGGGTAGCGATTTTGACCCTCTCTGGTGGCTGGCACGAATCCTTGAGTGTGGCCGTGATTCTGGTAGTAGTTTGTGCCTGTAAAAAGAAATGTAATACTTTTCAAAACTTTTGCAACAAAAATATATGCATTCAGCCGCTAGTTAAAGTTTTCCAGGCCTACTTGCAGTAAATCTAAGCCAAAAACAAAAAACCTAAATCAGTTTACCCAGATTTCGCTGCATTTCCATCTGCGTCCGCTTCAGCTTCGGCGGAATCGGCAGTTTTAGGCTCAACAGGTGGGCAACTTGTTCCTCATCTAGCCGGCGTCTTGCGTCGGGGTCTAAATTGCAAAGTATATTGCCAAAACCAAGGAAACTCACTGCTATTCAAGCGGTTTGACATTTTTGCTTTCTTCTTTTGCGAGATTTGCAGCTTCTGGTTTACCTGAAATTTGTATATCATGTAAAATAAGATATTAAAGGCAAGAATTTATGAGAAAAATATTGAAAGGAGGAGAAAAAGCAACATTTGAGCTGAAAAGCGGCTCGGGACAGCGGCCGGCAGCGAATTTGATAGCGTGAGCGTTGTGCATATAACCAACCCCATCTGCCACCGGTGTCGAGATAAATGGGACTATCAATCTATCAATAGTGCATAGCCAACAAATGGGAACGAAAGTGACCCAATAGCAGTATGGTGCTCTCTTTTATGCGTTCAAATCGGCGTGCAGTTCAATTTTATCAATAAATCACACGGTGATAAAATGTAAGTAATGTGGGGGCAGTAAAAGGTCATTTCTGCTTGCTGACGTAGGGGCGGAAACCCATCGGTGCCCAATGACTGTCAAAGGTACAGACCAGGCAGCGTTCTGAATGGTTGTCTCAGTTATAGAAAGCCGCAGATCACTGACGCTTGTTGCAGGGCGTCCTGTGGGCCGGCAGCTTCTTGATATAGAGTGGGGAAACTTTTCTGTAAAATGTGTTTTTCAGTCGACGCGCGTTCACTGGCAGCTATGTGTTTTGCGTTGATGTTTGCCCGTCTAACCGCTATCTAATTATATTATACCCTTGCTGAGCCCAAAATTACCAAAAAATGAAATGAAGCCGACGAAGAAAAGACATTTTTGCTCAAGTCCCGTCACGAAGAAACTTTCCTGGAACCCGTTCCACGATATGCCCTGGCCCCAGTTCTGGGAAAAGGTAATTTCTAGTTGGTTGCCTTTGTACGTTCCAATATAATCTTTTAGGTCGTAATTTATGAAGATCACGAGTAGCGAAATAGCTTTTAAAAGTTTAAAATTTTAGAGGCCAAGCCGCGGGAAGCGACCGAAGGAAAACAAACAGGAAAGCTTGCGCGCATTCGCGGCAAAGGGCCGGGCCGTAGCGCGTGGTCACCGTCTGGATGCCGGCCGATTCCGGACAGCGCCGGCATAGCGATTTCTGCAGTTGTGATTGAGACTGAAGCGGGTGACCGGGGCTACCTTTGTCTCACCCGGGCGCCCTTTTCCACGCGCGGCTGGCGGAAGCACCTGAAACAGCAACCGTTTTGAGCAGTTGAAAGGAAGGTAAGTTGAGCGCGCCATTTTAGGGGACGCACGTTGTCTGAGCCAAAATCAAAGCCCAGAATTTGTGGCATTTGAGGCCCGAGTTTTGGCTGAATAACTGTTGGTTAGCGCCGGCAATGGAACTTTTGGTTGCACTTCAGTTTTGAAAAGTTTTTTTTGCAACAAGAATCTAGCCCTTGTTCGGAAAGCGAAAAGCGAAAGCCCTTTTTTAAAAGTTCCCTTCGAGTCCCAAAGATCGCGTTCCCGCTTTTCTTTTGCTGCGGTATTCAAGGTTGTTCACAACAAATAGGCCGTGGCATAGGGATTTATTCAGCAGCGAGGTGGTTCAAAGATAGTTTATTCGAATTAGTTAAACGAGAAAAATTAGTGGGTATAGGGGCCCAGTCGCGCCCACACCTCCTCGATCGCGGCCGTCAGCAGGTCGTTGTCGCTGTCCTGTTTCCGGTTCGGCTCCTGATCTCCGTCGAGAACGAGGTCCTGTAAGATCGCAGGTAAGTGGGGAGAGAAAGTATTTTACGTCCTTATCCTTACTAAGCCGATATTAGGGGCTACCTATTCCTCGGAGGTCGCCTCCCCGAGGCCCAGCTGGTTGTCGTAGTTGTATGGCTGCTCGCCCTCCGCAGTGTTCTTCTTCAACGCAATCCCGTCCTGCTCGCGCTGGTGGTCCATCTCGTCGCGCTCGGTGTCGGTGATCACGTCCTCTTCGGACCCATCGGGGCTCTGGACGGCCTCCTCCTCCTCCTTCCACACGTCCGGGTAGGTAAAGATACCCTCCATCTGAAGAAGAAGAAAGTGGTAATATTTTTACATTCATAGAGGGATTTTTTTAGTAGCTCATGTTTTGAACTTGGGTTTTAACTATTTCTAGGCATTGAAACTGCAAATTTTATTTAAGAATTTTGTCTTCGGCGGGAGATTGATTTTTTTAGGTCTAAAATGACCAAATATCGATATTTTCGAAAATTTATTAGATTTGTGAAAATCGTTCTATTTCAAATGGTTAAAATGCTTTTTAAGCTACCAGGTAGATGTCGACGAGCGGCCATTCGATGGATGCTTCGTCTACTTGGGTATCATCTGCAAAGGCGGCCCAGACGGCAGCCACACTCAGCTTCCGCTCCCTCACGACGGCCAGGCAATCAGCCCACTGAAATTGTAATAAACTGTTATACAGGGTGTCCCAAACCCCCCCCCTCTAGAGGCCGTCAATCGGATCGGATCGGAATGATTTTTATACCAATCGAAAGCTCTCGGAAAGGCGAGAAAACAAGCGTGTTTCGTTTTCTAAGATTTAATCTGATTCTATCGATATTTCAGGTTTTCCTAAAAAGCCGAGAATTTTTTATCAGGAATTTTGCAATTAGCATGCAGATCTCGCAGAAATCAGCAGTTTTCATGGTTTTTGGACATAAAATTAGCAAATAAAAAGGCTTAATTAAGAAATTCAACCCTCCTTGTTTTCTCGCCTTTTCGAGAGCTTTCGATAGATACCTAAATCGTAACAATCGGAATCGACTGCGGACCGCTAGGTAGGGGGTTTTTTTGGGACACCCTGTAGTCAATTGATCTTTAGACAGATATGCACTTTAAAATATCGGTCAATTTACAAAAAAAGCATGAAGACTTGCTATTAGCTAAATAGGCATTTCTGCGCCAATAAGATAAACTTTGGTCAAATGCTATGTGAGATGTTAAAATCAAATAATATTACTGCGGATTTCCATTTTGTGTAGACTATCGACGTCGCTTTCTCGGCCGCCTGGAGCTCCTCAGCATTCTGAGTGGCGACCGTCCGGCCTGAATTCGGTTTAAAGGGCTAGTTCAGCCAATAAAAGAATTTCCGCGGCCAGGAGTCGAACCATCTCTGCGTTTTTGTGTCTGCGCCTCTCTCATTTCCCCGATCTCTAATTGCTGCCGTAATGGGGGACTGTTCGGGCGCACTGTGCCTACGTCCATAGTTTCCCAAGGTACCAGCCCAAGCTCTAAAAGTTGAACTAGCCCTTTAAAGGTCTTGATAATCTCAACAAACTTAATAACAATCTTAGGCAACCTTTAGACGCTCGTTCAACTGCTGCAAAATCCGACCGGCTATTAAAATTGACGTGCCCGTGATCTTTGTTTTCACGAATCGAACCCGAACCCACAAAGATGGTGGCGGACGGGGCACGGTGGTCGCGCCGAACGCCGGCGTCAATCATCTGCTTGTCGCAGTCATCCCATCGCTTGATCACGTCCAATTCTTCGCGGCTGGATAGGTTGCAGCTGCGCTTGGCCAACGCAAAGTAGACCATTTCCTAAAAACGGAGGGCTTATCGGGCTGGAAAAGATCAGCAGGGGCTTTCGAAGTTCGGGGACGGGGAGAGTATTGGAAGGAGCCTTTTTGAGCGCGCAGCGATTACATGTCGTAATGCCTTGTAAGGAACTCAACCTCTCGATCTCGGTGATTCGCTGGTCGATTTTCATAATTAAAAAGTCTAGAATGATCAAAATTCGCAATTTTGAAATCCAAGCGTTTTCACGTCCAAACAGCGGCAAAAGACTATTTGCTATTTGCCAGGCATCAACACAGGGCGCCGTGCAGCTGATTTCGGTGCCCCTTTAAATCCTAAGAGGCGGGTGAGGTAGTCAATAGTCCTTTTCGACAAATAATGTATAAGATAGTGTTCGCCGGAGCAGTTTTGCGCTCCGGCTTTTCGGGGAAACAATTCCGGTTCTATCCCCGCGGGGTACTCACGCTATATTCTTTCAAAAAAAAGGAAAAGAAAAAGAAAAGGGTCCGTCGAGTAAATAACTTTCTAGGTGATATTCAGGAACCTAAGGAAACAAAGTTGACCTTCCCAACAACTCGAAACCACCGTTCGAACCGAAAGTTCAGAAACCCGCAACCGAAAACGTACCTCCATACGGTTACGCGCCCCGATCTTGTCCTCGGTCGTTCGCAGCTTGCAGAGTTCGTCATACAGGCGTTCAGCGGTAGAATACACGTCATTGTGATCCTGCAAAAAGTACGCAGTAAAGTAAAAAAGTACTCAAGTTTACCAAAGTCATCGCAGTCAATTTTCTGGTTCGTAAAGGAAACAAGAAGTTTGTTAGTAGTGGTTAAAGCGCACGTTCAGGGAGGGGCTGTATACTCTGCCCAACGTATACATCCTATGGGCGTAGGGACCGCGCGCACTGTCTGCCCGTGCCGTGACAGGCCATTCCCCTCCTTTCCGGGGTGAGGCGCCCCTCGGCCCCTCGCCAGGTTGCACCCGTGGCTAACTGGTATGCGACCGCGCCTCCCGATCGGGAGGCCCGGGTTCGACCCCCGGCCGCGGCAAAAGTCTTTGCTTTCTTGCCTAAAAACGTCCCTGAACGTGCCCTTTAAGAACAATTATACGTGAGATTCTATGCGTTTTATGAGCAACTTCCGGTAATTCTTCAGCCGTTTGCTAATTCACCAACCTAATCCGACCTAGCTAGAAACCGCAAACGGGAGAGCGAGCAGCGAGCGCGACAATGTTAGAAAATGCCAGGGCTTGTTGCCCGAACTGCTTGTATTTGTTTTCGAAACTCTATATATTTTTTCCAAACTTTCTATTTGGTTTTCCAAAGTTTCTATTTTGTTGCCCGAACTTTCTATTGTTGCCCGAACTGCTTGATTTTGTTGCCCCACGTTCGATTTTGTTGCCCGAACTGCTTGAATTTGTTTTCCAAACTTTCTATTTTGTTTTCCAAACTTTCTATTTTGTTTTCCAAACTCCTTGATTTTGTTTTCCAAACTCCTTGATTTTGTTTTCCAAACTGTCTATTTTGTTTTCCAAACTTTCTATTTTGTTTTCCAAACTCCTTGATTTTGTTTTCCAACTTTCTATTTTGTTTTCCAAAGTTTCTATTTTGTTTTCCAAAATTTCTATTTTGTTTTCCAAACTCCTTGATTTTGTTTTCCAACTTTCTATTTTGTTTTCCAAAGTTTCTATTTTGTTTTCCAAACTTTCTATTTTGTTGCCTGAACTGCTTTAATTTGTTGCCCGAACTCAATTGTGCCGTACATGAAAACATTTTTTATTTTCTTGTTAAAAGCAGGCGGAAATGAGGAAGTTGGCGAAAATGTTGGAGGTTAGTGTTGGTCAAGATGCAGGGTATCACGGCTGAGTTTACGGGCGTGTACACGTATCGTCGTGGAAGGACAGGCAGCGCAAATAAATGAAATGGCCAGAGTACTGTAATCACAAGGCGCGAAGTATGACACGGCTACGAAGGGCAACTAACGACGTCAAGTGGAAAGTCATGGAACTGATAGAAATTTGGTCAAAGTATCTGTGCGGTAACTGAAGTTGAAAATGCAGATTTGGGCCACGAAAAAAAGTGAGCTAATCAGCTAGCTGGGGCTTCGGAGGTGTGGACATGGATGCTGGGCGCGGGGCTATAGAGCGGGCTCCCGTCCTCCATTTTCTCCTCGTTATGGTGGTTCTCGCCGGGGAGCATCAGCTCGGCCATCAGTCTGAAAATAAAATTTTGATTTTAAGGTTTTTAAGTTAGATTTATTATAGAGGCCAAATAATGTTTAGAATATCGAAATTCGTAATAGAGAAATTTCATAACGCAAAAATTTCATAATGTCGAACTATTTTGTGTATTGCTATCGGTTTGTCGAAAATAATTTTGTCGAAATACTATTTTGCCGAAATGCCATTTTGTCGAAATTTCGTTTTGCCGAAATTGCAATGATACTTCCAAAAAAATGAAAATAAGCCATATTTTCCATAGAATAGGCGATTTTTTCGTAACAAATTTCAGAAGGTCGAAACGTCGGCATTATGCATTTTTCGACATTACAGCTTTTCGATATTCTGATAGAAATTCCTATTTAATCAATTTTTATTTTTAAAAATTTAGCATTAATTCCCCGAAAATCTTCGCCAGCCAGCCAACCTGTCGATCGAAGCGAGCCCAAACAGCTTGGCCAGCTGCACGTCTTCGACAAGGTCGCGCGCGATGCCGAGCACCGGAGGGAGGAGGAGCAGCAGTTGTGAGAGTCTTCTTGGGACCTCTCGCAGCGGGGACACAAATCTGACGTACCGCTCGAAGGCGTCGAGCACCTGAAATGAGCGTAATGCTTGGGTCAGATTTTTTGGTTTTGTCGCATTATCGGGGGGAGGGGGGAGAGAAATTTTATTAGGAACCGATTATTTAAAATATAAACACCGGAAGTGTTTCTAAACTGTTTTTTTACTATCCATAAACGTAACAACTTTACCAATTTTAGACAAAAAAAAGAATAGTTTTTCGACTAAAAGGGCCGATTTAACCATAATTTCGGCTTTTTGAAACATTTTTCAAAGGTTTTAGAAAGTTTTTCTGGTTCAAATTTAGTTTTTTTACTGAAACATTTATGGAAGTAATTTCTAGTAAGTTACTAGAGATTTTTAGATTACCCCAAAAAATTTGTCGCCCCCCCCCCCGATAATGCGAAAGAACCCATTTTTGCAATTATATCTCGGCTCCTCATTAACCTATCAAATTGTAAGTTATGCCAAAATGTTCGTCTTCATTTGGCGAGTATTTTGGTATACCTTACGTCCCTATAGCTTTATGGGGAGCCGAGGTACGGTAGATAAACCACTCTAGTGTACGACCCTTACCTCCTGCCGCGACAGATCCACCTCTTCGTAGGAATCGTCCACCCCTTTTGCGACTAAAAATTAAGGTATCACCTTTCAGTTTTAAGATCTCCTCACTTGGATCAAAGAAAGCGACCGCCTTCAAGGCGCAGTATTCGATCTCGTTCATCTGAAGCCGCCGCATCGGTACCGTTAGTTGATCGACGATCCGGGCGGCTACACGGCTAAATACCAAATAACGCTATAGGGTATCGCTTAAGCGCTTTACTTGACGTCTGGCACTTTTGTGGAATTCTTATGGAGTCGTGTCTCGTTAGTCAGCCACACGGCGTCGTCAAGGTGGATTGAGCGGAATGCCGCGCACATGACGAGGTGTTGGGCGGAGAAGTGGCTGAAATCGGGGGGTTAGGTTTGGGCTTAGGCTAAGGTTTGAGCTTTTGCTTAGGTTTAGGCTTAGGCTTAGGATTAGGCTTCGGCTTGGGCTTCGACTTAAGCTTGAGCTAAGGTTTATTTGCACTTAAGCCAAGGCTTAAGCATATGCCTAGGTTTAGACTTAGGCTCCGGCTTAGGATTAGGCTTGGACTTAGGCAGGGGCTTAGACTTAGGCAGGGGCTTAGACTTAGGCATTGTTTAGGCTTTGCGTAGGCTTATGCGTGGGTAAGCTTTTAAGCCTATTCCAAGCATAAGCCTAACATTAGGCTTAAATTTCCCTTACTTACCGTAATAACCCGACCTGCGTCCGCATCGGCAATTTAGAAAATGACACCAATCTCTTGGCCCACTCCACCATGAGCACGAGCTGTTGGTGCATACTGTAATGGCAAAAAATCACATGAAACCGGAGATTTATACCTATCAGTCACATCAATGGTCGTGGCTTCTCCTCGTCTTGCATCAGAAGTCCTGAAAAAAATATTATTTCCGGAAAAGAAATCGGAACCTGGTAATGACGCTCGAGCGAAGTTGCCTAACCGCTGCTTCGGCTTGGAGAAGCTCTTCTAAAAGCGGTTCCTCGGCTACTGTAGCGGCTGTCGGTGATGGCTTGGCGATGCGGTCACGCTCGATCTGAATTTTAGAGGTTTTTACTTCGTAATATGCATAGTCAATTTGCATATTTTAGCATGAGACGTATCCTAGAATTTTTCATTTTCTGGAGCTCAAATATCATATTCATCACTTCCCCAATACCCCCCATCGACAATGGCTGACGCAAAGAAGGACGCTGACCGGAACCCGAAGGATGATATTCAGGCTGCCCATGTGGGTTTATGCAAATTAAATATCTGCTAGCCTATGCTGCTAGCCTGCCCTCGCTTCTTCAATGATCTCTGCTAGCCTGCCATCACTTCCTCAATGCTCTCTGCTAGCCTGCCCTCGCTTCCTTAATAATCTCTGCTAGCCTGCCCTCTCCACCCACCTCAACCTGCATTTTCTCGGTTCACCACTTTTCCTCCCCTTTCCTTTGTCATTCGATAGCAAGAAAAAACCGCCGCCTCGCGCCCTTTCCCGAATATTATTGCCAAACAAGCGGCGAGCCTGTATTCAAGCCAGTCTGTCTGTCTGTCTTTCTATCTGTCCGTTCCGCATCGATCCATTGGCCGGTGCCGAAGGGGGGTTTTCTCCCCTCTGGCTTGGCCGATATCGCTTCCACTTCACGCTTTTCCACCTTTCGATTCACCGGAACAAATCTGATTCACTCCTAAGGGGCTCGTAAATTATGCCGCTGGAGTTGTTTGGGTTTCAAGTGCCGACGCATGTTGGTTTTCAAGTTTAAGGAGCTGCTTACTTGACTTGACTTAGGCTTAGGCGCAGGCTTAGGCTTTGGCTTGGGCTTGGACGTGAGCTTAGGCTTTAACTCAGGTTAGGCTTAAGCTTAGGCCTGAGTTTGGGCTTAGACTTCGCTTAGGCGCGGGCTGAGCTTAGGCTTAGGCTTAGGCTTAAGTTTAGGCTTGGGCATCAACCTATGCGCCAAGGTCAGCTAGCAGAAACGTTGAGATGCTCACGGGATAAGAAACCCCGCTAGAATCCACTCTATCTACAGTAACCTACAAAATGTCACTTCCAGTCCGACCTGATCACCTTCCTCTACGAGCCCAAGGGCGAGACGTACGACAAGGCGTGCAAAGCCCTCGAAGCCAACACCGGCCTCAAGCGCGAGCAGGTCAGCTCCAGAGTACAGTCGTGTACTTTTCCAATCTAGGCTGCCTACGGCCTCTTCGCCGTCCTCGGCCTCTACCTCATCTTCGGGGCGTTGGCCCAGTTTGTGTGCAACCTGATCGGCTTCGCCTACCCGGCCTACGCCTCCGTCAAGGTATCAAAATCAAGCTGTGCCCAACCTTGAACAACTCCAGGCGATCCGCACGTCGTCGAAAGACGACGACACACAGTGGCTGATCTACTGGACCGTGTTCGCCTTCTTCTCCATCATCGACTTCTTCACCGACGGCATCCTGTCCATCTTCCCCTTCTATTTTGTCGTCAAGGTTGGCCGTCAAGTTCAGTACGTACAGCATGCGCTAGGTGCTCTTCCTGCTCTACTTGTACTTGCCGCAAACGCGCGGCGCCTCATACCTCTACACCCGGTTCATCGACCCGGCCATCACCGAGTTCGACAAGTAACATGGCACACTAGATTTTATCAATGTTCATCTACAGGTGGCTGGCCAAGCAAGGCTCGGCCCAGGGCTCGGCGAGCAACGCCGCCTCGCTGAAGAAGGACTAGCCCGAAGCGACGACTGCCATCACTGACTGACCAGCCCCCCAATTCCGCCCCATTCCTATGTGCATCGCTTTTTGTCTTGCCGGGCAGTAATAAAGGATGCCTATACCTTGACCCTGATACAGTACACCCACCTGAACGGCCTCCGTTTTCATGCCCATCCTCATACAAACATCGTATCGACATCTTCGACAGGTGTTTCGGTGATCTGAAAAAAGCCCTTAAAATGTTAAAAATAAAAAGTTCCACTTCCGTTTGGCCCAGAAAATACTGCAGGTCATCTGCTAAGATATTATGAATAGCTTTATTACGCTAGATACCTCAAAACCCGTACCAACCTTTATCAACAATACACATCCGCTTGAAGCGACAGCTGTAGTTGTGCCGCTTCCGGACGGTGCGACGAAAGAAACCTGGAAAGGTATACATTACCCTACGTCATGACGAAAATGCGTAAATTCTGTAAAGTAAAACAAAGAAAACCATACATTACGCCCGGTAAAGGGATAAAAATGGCAAATTACAGAAGTAAGGAAAGAACTGCTACATATTACGCTGTGTAAAGTAGCAAAAATCGTGCCATACGCGCTACCAATAAAAAAATTGATGGTAACGAAAGAAAAGTTACATAATACGCCATGAAACGCGCGAAATCGCTGAGCGCTCAGCCTCAACGCGTGCATAGGAACCTAGCGTTTCCATAACCGCCTACGCCTGGCTCCTTTCTACGCCGCTCTCCTACGCGCTAGTTGCAAAACCTCAATTTGACCTGCATCACTACTAGCTATGTCTAGTCACTCCAATTACTACTTTATAACCCACATACCTTTACAACCGTCGCACGAAATGGCGCCATAGTGCTTGCCGGTCGCCTTGTCCCCGCAAATCGCGCACACCTAAAGATTTAATGATTTCAGAGAGTTTATTTTTATTTATAGCGCTAATTTTGATGTTTTTCGAATCTACCAATGACTTTTTAAGAGCAAAAAAAGCTTTTAAAAGTTTTTGTAAAAGACTTTGAACAGTTTTTTTAAGAAAAACCTGCGAATCCTCGGCCCGCGACGGTCCCGCCAGATTTTCCAGGGCCTTCGGTGACACGGCCGAGGAGCCGGGCGGATCCTATAGATAAACGAGAGTCCATTACAATGCTGCTTCTGGCTAGAGCTCGCCCGCGGTGGGTATCGAGTTGCACCCACGGCTAAAGTCACGGACACGCGCTACGTGTGCCCAAAAAAAGTTTGGAAAAAGATAAATTATACAGGAACATCGGGAATTTTTGCATTATCGGTGGGGGGCCCAAATTTTTCTTCTTAAGCATTGTCAAATTTTTATAAACTGTTTTTAGTGTGTCTACACGTGAAAATTTTATAGATTTTTATGAAAAAATACAAAAATATAATTTTTCGCCCAAAATGCCAACATTTTTTAGGTTGTTAGATCGTTTTTCCACTTGAAACAGAATTAAATTTACTAAAATAATTTTTAAAGTCAGGTAATATTACCTTACTCGGTGTTTCTGAGCTTATAGAAAAAAATCAGATCCCCCGATAATGGAAAAGAACCGAAAAGTAAGCGTTTTATAGTTTTTATGACTCAGGTTTTTCTGCAGTTTTTTCTACTTTCAGTGTAGTTTATAATTAAACACGGGCCCTGGAATTTCATGTGCTAATGTATTGTAGAGTCCGGGAACAGGAAATGAGTAAAAAAAAAACGGTTTTAGAGCCTGAAAACGAGCGGTTTTCTAGCTTTTCGGAGCTCGCCGAGCTTCAAGAAAGCTCGGAAAGCTGATCTATGCGAATAATACTTCAAATTCACGAGCCAAACCAAAAACCCACCTCATCGGTGACCGACATTTTCGAGGTATCGACCGTGTTGCCGGTGTCAAAAAGGGGAGGCAAAAAGTGTGATCAGACGCTCATCTGTGCCCCGGTGCCCCGTTATCACGATTTTCTGCGGCTCCCCGCCAAATCAATCCCCGCGCGCACGGCCGGCGAGTCCGCGAATGTACTGAGGACACCGCGGAGGGATGGGGGTTAGAGGGGAACAGGGTCCCCCACCACACATGGCCACAAACTACAACAAGGCCGCGGACCAGGCAACGCAATGTCTGTCTGTGTGTTTGTACGTATCTCTCTCTCTCTCTCTCTCTCTCTCTCTCTCTCTTCGGGCTGCCAGGTGACAGCGGGCAGCCTCACCTCTGTTCTGCCCTCAAAACCTCTGCGCTTTCGCAAAAGCCGCTCGCCACATACTCACCTCTTTGGCGGCAGCGGCCAGCCGGCACCACTTGGCTGCTGGCCCACTTGGTCCAACCGGGGGCCCATTAACAGGGCTCGTTACAGATTTTTGATTACCCCTCTCCTGGCTCGTGGCTGCGCTTTTACCCCTCGACTTTTCCTCGAGTAGCATTGTACGCATGTGGTTTCAATTAGCGAACGAGCTTTCGAGGCCTGGGCTAAATGTAGACTCACGTTTTATGGGGGTTGAAAGCTTTACCAGCTCTCAAAAGCCCAAAAAAATCAGGTGGTCCAGAAAAGCTACAACACACAACTCTGTACGGAATTTCGTCACGTCGGAGCAAATGGAATAAACCATTTACACGCGTAACTGCATGTTTTTTATTTTTGAAGTTTAAACTTACAAATAACGATAAACTATAAATTTATAACTGCGTAAGGGCTAAGGATTTGATAAAAAGTGATATGTAAGCTTTTCCATTCCCCGAAAATCCACGCTCGACGCCCTCGGGCGAGAAGCCCCGAAATCCCATTTACGACGGGCCATAAACGCCATCGCGCAACACATTCGAGCCGCAGAAACCAACCCGAAATGCTTCTTGCTGTTTGATCAAGCCTCAAGTTTCCTTGAAAGCTATAAAAATTCATTGTTTTCATAACTTTACAATCAATTAGTCGTTTCTGGGTATCTTACACCCTTTATTCTACTCAATAAGCCTTACTTCTACATTTTCATAGCAAACCCATAAATTAACTGACACACTTTTGAGTGCTCCTCATCGAGCCATATCTAAGTTTTTAGGCCTGATCAAGCCATCCCAGAGTTGCTGGATCGTATTTAGGCTATCAGGGCGTCCCTACACACCCGGACCATCTAATAAATCTCTCGGTTGATACCCATAAACCACCCCGGCTGATTGTGCACCCGCAAAAAAGCACGGGGAGGCGCACCTGGATGTTTCGTAAGACCTGTCCGCCCCGTTGCTCATCATTCGTGATCCAGTTTCTCGTACAAGCGTGTGTTCCCCCCTCTCGACTCCTTGCAATTACTGCTCAGCCAACATGTCTTTTGTTTCTCAATCGAAAAGTGAAATTATTTTCTCTTGAACAATACGTAACGATTCTATGGACGGATTTTGGTGGCGTAATCAGTTTATCTATTTCTTTTTAGGCTTAATAAAATTCTGTTTTTAACCTTGTAGTCGTTTGTGTGTTCTGCAAAAGTTCCTACTCTTTTCAGGGACGTAAAGGAGCAGCATAGTCAGCTTTTCCTTTTCTTTATTAGTTTTCTATATAGTGTTCTATAGTCTTTTTCAGAGATGGATCAAATCATCGCTCAAAACGTGGGCAAGCATCTCTCGCTCATCTCCCCGCCGTCCTCCTCCGAAGCTTCCGACTCGGGAGCAAGCGGCGACGAGGAAGAGGTAATTCTATTTTAACCTTGATTTCTAAGATTTTTTAGATCGCCAAAACTCTGGCAGCGGCCACATGTTTCCAATTCAAGCGCCCGCGCAACCAGAAGCAAACTTTTGATGACGACGATACGATGAGCGAGGAGGAATTTGTGGAGGCGCAATTTGGCGATGAGCGTGGAGGTTGGGTTTTTTGGGCGTTCTAAAGATAGTTTTTTAGACTTTACAAAGCGGCTGAACGCGCTTCGCCAAGGAATGGTCGCCGGACCTAACAGCCAGCAGCGCGTCGACAAGATGATGTCCGCCGAGGCGACCGTTGAGAAAATGAAGGCCGAGAAGCAGAAGCGTGTCAAGGATCGGCAAGACAGAGCCACTGTCGAGCAGGTATAGATTTTGGCTCTACAGAAAGTAATGGCCTGGGTTTCTCTGTTTTTTTGATCTGTTTTGCAAAAAGTGTGATGTTTGGGTTAAAAATGAATAAATAAATAGTATAAGCTGCCGAAAAGGTGGTTTTGACTTTTTAGGCATAGAAAACTCCAAAAAGACCTTAGATGTTGTTTATGTTTTATACGAGTAGCGATTAGGCTGAACCAGAGGTTATCCCCCCCCGATAATGAACAAGAACCAAAAGCCGTATTTTTCAAATTTCAGCAATCAGTAATTCCAGGTGCTCGACCCAAGAACTCGTCTCGTCCTCTTCGGCCTGCTCCAACGCGGTACCCTCTCGACAATTGACGGCTGCATCAGCACAGGTATTTGCTTTGCGCTTTCCTTAAGTTTTGAATAACAGCTGCTACTATAACTTGCATCCCGTAGCTCCGGGGAATGTTCTGGCCTCTCCCCGCGCCTCTCCCCTTGGCCGCATTTGATGGGGGCCACATGCCGTCGCGCCCTTTAAATTTGATTTAAAAGCTTTTTAATAAGATTTTTTTATAGGAAAAGAAGCCAACGTCTACCACGCTAAGAAGGACGACCACTCGTTGGCCGTCAAAATCTACAAGACGAGTATTTTGACGTTCAAGGATCGAGATCGTTATGTCCAGGGCGAACATCGGTATTTTTTTCATTACATATGAAAATTATAAGATGCAAAAAATATTAACGTTAAAAAAATATATTATTTATATAAAATACCTTTTCAAGCTATTTTACTATGCGCTTTTTTAGATACCGTCACGGATATTGCAAACATAACCCCCGGAAAATGGTAGCAGTTTGGGCCGAAAAGGAGATGAGGAACCTGAATCGGTATATATTTTTCTCATTTTTTAAAATTTAGAATTTTAGAATGCACGAAGCCGGTGTTGCCGTCCCGAAACCAATCCTTCTCAAGGGCCACGTCCTCGTCATGGATTTTGTCGGACGTGACGGCTGGCCAGCCCCTTTGTTAAAAAATGCCGAATTGACGGATGAGGTAAAAAAAACCTTAAAAGCTTGAAAACCCTTAAGCTGCTTCAGGTTGCCGACAAAGTCTACGTGCAGCTGGTGCGCACGATGCGCGTCATCTACCGCGAGTGCAAGCTGGTGCACGCCGACCTGTCCGAGTACAACCTGCTGTTCCTCGACGACAAGCTGTACGTGATCGACGTGTCGCAGTCCGTGGAGCACGACCATCCGTTTGCCCTGAATTTTATGAGGTTTGTTGATAGTCTATTTTCGAATTCGGGACGGAGATTCTTCCGGAAAAGCGGGGGAAATGTATTTTTTTCCTTGGGACCGATTTTTTATTTTTGAAAAGAGGAATTTGAAAAACTTTTTTACTATTCCTAAGAGTAGAAGCTTTACAAAATTTATTAAATACTAGAGAAATTTTAGATTTTTCTAAAATTGGCCGATTTTCGACTATAATGTCGAATTTTCGGGAATTTTGCGGAACTTTTAAAAATAGTTTAGCTGTTTTACTACAAAAACATTGGTAATTTAGCTAAATTTTATCAAAAAATAAAGCAAGTGGCATAAAGCCTATTTTATTTGTGCACATTCTTATGAAAGGCTGCAAAAGTTTCGTTTTTTGACGGAAGAATGCCGATTTCCGGGTTTTCGATTCATTTTGCCGGTATTTTGTCGGACTTTTCTAAATAACTGAGACTGGAAATACAGCTACATTTTTTCAAAAACGCTATTTAAAAACTCGTATGGCCTTACTACACATAACTCAAATCATAGGAAAAATTTGATCCTTTCGATTTTCGAAAGAACTGGATTTGTTTTCATTTTGTCCCCAATGCCCTATTTTCCAGAACCGACTGCAACAACGTGACGCGCTTCTTCCGGGACCGCGGAGTTGCCGTTCTGCCCCTGAAACGACTCTTCGAGGTCCCCCATTTGTCCCCCCATTCCATCAAACCCCCCGGAATTTTAGATTATTGTCGACCCGACAGTGGACGAAAACCAAGTGCAGAGGGCTTTGGACGAGGAGCGGTATGGGGTTCTTCTTTTTTGCTTTTAGCCTTTGAAATCTAGATCCTCGGAAGGTGCCGAAGCTGATGTCGTCTTTCTGAACGCCTTCATCCCGCAAAAGCTCGACCACGTCGACCATTATGAACGGGACGCGGCGTTGATACAGCAGGGCAAGACGCCGAACAACCCCTTCCAGCATATGGTTTCGAAGGTAAGCTTGTTTTTAAGTGGATTTTGGCCGAGTTGTCTGAAATCAAGTTTGTAGTGTCCATTTGAGCTTTTAGACTGATTTTTAATATATGGATGGTTTGGAAAGGTCGGTGCGGGACATAATGGCTGAACATCGCTAATTTTCGCGAAAATTGAGATTTCTAAGAATTTCTCGAATAAAATTTAAAAATGGCAACGTTTAGGATAGCAAAAAGGATCATGGGAACACTTCCTTCATTTAGATTAGAAAATTGAGTCTTAAAGAGATAGTAAAAATAGAAAAATAGTAAAGACCAAAAAAACTCTTTTTTTTAGTTTGATTTTAAATGACAAAAGGATTCGTATTATTAATATTATTTTAAAAGAAAAATTCTAATAATTCCTCTTTTAAAATTCTTTTTTTAGACCACTGGAGCGAAGGGCGGCTCCGATGATTCGGGCAGCGATTCGGACTCAAATGGGGAGGAAGAATCGGAAGATGGCAGCGGCGAGCCCGGGGAGCGCGAGAGAAAGGTTTGTGCTTGATTTTTACAGGCTTCCGCTCCATTAAACTTTATAGAGCGATAACTGTATTTTAATGACGTCGGCTCCATTAAAACTATACAAAAATCCTTTTCAGGTGTACGGCCGGCCAAAGGACGAGACGGCCGAGGAGCGGAAAGAGCGCAAGCGCGAATTCAAGGAGGGACAACGCGAGAAACGCAAGGACAAAATCCCCAAGCACGTCAAGAAGCGCAAACAAGGGCTGAATAAGAAAAAGTAACACCTCCCCCCCTCGGAGCGGCCTATTCACGCGATACTCGCCGTCACCCTGGTGCTTCAGCCGCGAATTCGTTAATTCTGTGTTTATCGGATCGATTTCTTGATCGTTCTATTGTTTTTGCTTCTTGTTGATTTTGAGACGGTTCTTTGCATTCCTGTCTTGATTTTACGGTACTGGACTTTTCGCGGGGGTGACATCTAGCTTATCTAGAAAAAAAATTGGCGTTTTTATTGTATTTTATAGTGTTTTTGTTGGTTTTAGGTTAGTAAAAAATCATAAAAAAAATTTGTAACATTAGGAAAATTGGCAATTTTTGTGCATTTTAATAGGTTTTTCGGCTAAAACTCAAAATTTTGCGAATTTTTACAAAGTTTCTCTACCTAAAACCGACGTAAAACTATGTAAATGATGGTGTTTATTTCATTATTCTGGTCGAACGAGGATTTGGGAAAATTTTTGGCACCCCCCCCCGCTAACAGCACAGTGCCGACTTCTCCGCCCGCTTCTGTCTCACTTATATTGTTGTTGATTTCTGTTGTTTGTTATTGCTTTTTCCGGTTGGCTGGCTTTTGACCCCGATTGCCGTGGGGGGCCGTGTTTTTCCACGACCCACCCGTAATAAATCGTTACTTTCCCACCAGGTCCGACTCCAAGTCTGAAACCGTATGATGCGGTGGAAATGTTTTTGCTGGTGTCGCCGATTTTTCAAGTTGTCCGCCTCGTTTGGCAGACATTGTCGTGCTTTTTTGCTTTATAGCCCCCGGCGGCGAGCATGCGCCCCCATGGGAGCCGTGAAATTTTCACCAGCGGGGTCAGGCGCCACTCTCCCGGGCGTTGGTGCTACTTTTTGTTTCAAGATGGCAGGAAGTTGAAGCTGTTTAGGGTTTTGTGTGTTTTCGCGTTATCAGCAAGACATACTTTTCCTGCTCTCTCTCACTCTCCCTGCCTTACTTTCCTTTTTTGATATACAGTGATTAGGTGTCCCTTAACCTATTTCTTTACAAATTTTGAAGCAAAAAATGACACAATTTTCTAAAAAAACAAAAGATTTCGATGCTTCGATCAAAAATGTCAATTTCCGAGCAAAATTTGGAATTATAATTTTTTTCGATTTTCCAGAGATTTTTCGAATCGGAATATAACTAAATTACTCTAAAAGCCCATTAGAACACTGGCGATGATATTGTTAGGCATATCAGGAAAAATAGGAGCTAAATCCTCAGATTTCGAAATTGGTTTCTAAAATTTGTATTATTTTAAAACGTATTCAAAGGTTTTTTTAAATTAGCTAGAAAAAACATCCGAAAGCCTACGCTTTATTGGCTCGGATTGTTTGCCAATTCGTGGCATTGTTGACGCGTTCTCGATTGATTCGAACCCGTGTTTTGTTCCCCCCTCCCCCGAAGTCAGCTGTATTTTTGCCCTTTTAGCCGAGTTCATTATACCTTTTTCTTATTTTTATTGTTCGCTATCAGTTGGTCTAAACTTTGCCCGTCCTTTCAGGCGTTCCATCCCCGTTTTTCAGCATGACTCATCGGACGCGGAACCACTTGGCTCCCCCACCAGACAAGTACTAGCAGCTCCCTAGATGGGCCCTCTGCTAGGGCCCACCGCTTTTAAGCCCCCCTCTCAATCTAGTCGGCGGCCACGGGGGCCCCTCGGCTTTTCGCGATGGGTTCGCTGGTTTTTGGCGGCGTTTTGGCCGAGTGTGCCATTTGCAATTCATCCGATGGCCCCTCGGCAACCGCCCTGGTGTGACCTCTTTTCGCAACTATCCCAGGCCAAACGACACGCCAAACATCGATCTCCTGGAGGGTTATGGCTAGGATTTCGTACTTTATTAAAGAAATGGATAATTTTGGACTAGAAAACAAGTGCGCGAAAATGGTTTATTGAGATTTCCGAATGAAAGAAGCTTTTCGGGTACTGGGCTGTTAGCAGGGGGGTGGGGGCAGCCAGTTTTTTTTCGCCTATGTTCCACCGCTTGTTATTCGTATACTTTTTTGATGTTTGTGACCATTTTTCATACGTTTTGACCAAAGATTCAAAAATTTCCGCTAATTTTGACGATTTTCCATGCGCTTATTATATCTATAAACACTGTAAAACTATAAAAAATGGTTTGGTTTGGATTTCGTTCTAGGACCGTACGTGATTACTAGAAAAAATGCGCTCCCCCCGCTAACGGTCCAGTACCGCTTTTTGCCTTTAGAATCCCACTTTGCGTATTTTTGGTAACTTCTGGCGAAATTTCCGTTCGGCATCCCGAGCATCGATTTGTCGAGGGGGGCCCAGGTCGTCGGCATTCTTTGCTCTACATATTCCAAGCTGGGGGCCCTCCATTTGCCTTTTCTTTTCGACTGCACCTGGGCCCCCGTGATGATTGCCTTTGTTTGCCGATCTGTCTCCAGCCTTGATAGTGATTCCACCAGATGCAACGTTCGTCCCCTCTTTCCTGCCCTTGAATCACCTTTATGAACACCGGAAATGGCCGATTTTTTTGGCGATAATGCTCTGTCATTTATGGGGGCTGAAATAAGCGATAGATGCCTTTCTCAATTATTTACGAACAAATTTACAATATTTATACGATGATGCGTTTATGCATCGAAAAACCTAATTTTTCAAATAGATATAGAGTATATTATAGACGTTTCTGTTTTGTGAAGTCGAGCAGCGTCTCGTAATTTAGCGCGATTATTTAAGTAGTGTCTAGAATAAAATTTTAAAGAAATTTTTTAGTAGAAGAACTCTTCAGAAAACCTGGAAAAATTGTTAAAACTCAATTTTGGTCGAAAATCGATATTTTAGTATTTTGAAACAAAAATTTGTGAAGTTTGTAGTTCAGCAATAGTGAAAAACAACTCAGAAAATCGCATAATTGCAATATTCGATATTTACTATATTTTATGAGTGAATATTTGAAAGCAGCATGAAAAGTTATATAAATAGTGTGTTCTATTGTGTGTACCTCCCCCGCTAACAGTTTTGGGCCGTCTGAAGATCCAAAAAATCGTACACGGCGGCCACGCTTGTCACAAAACAGCGGGGGCCGGTGACTCATCAAGATGAGCTAATACCTGCCCATCTCGCCCGCCTAACCGAGGTGTTTTCCTGATTTTTATCAGCAGGTGTGCCCCCGCCTCTAGGCCGCTACACCGCGACGTAGTACCTCCCCGCTATAACCCGTCATTTACTATTGATCTCGACCCCCCGGCCCGGCTGGAGACAGTGGTGTGCGGGTGGAGGAAGGAAGGTCGTTGTACTCTTCCGGGCAACCGCTCTGGCCCTTACACCTCTGTTTCTATCTGGTTGTCAATTGCGCCTAATGAACTTGCTTTTTTTGCAAGTACTCTCGAAAGAGTCCATTTTTAACCTTATAAGTTTATTTTTTATCGGAGAATCTACAGGGTGTCCCAAAAAAAACGAACCATCTGGCATTTCGCCATGTTACATCCGATCGGCCCCAAATTTGGACCAGAGGTGGATCAGACCCTAAATAACCACAATACTGACTTTTTGCCCCGTAGCTACAGTAGTTCTCGAGTTATGGCAAAAACAAACTTTAATTTGTCTTTTTCATAGGGTTTTCGTGGAATTAGACCCCTAAACATTAAGTGAAAATGATCCGGAAGGCGTTCTTTACCTTAAGGAATTTTTCCCAGAGCAAATTTATTAAATAAGCTTGGATTTAAGCGATTTTTACAACGCAAAATTACCCAAGTTCTTCAGCGAAATTAGGGATTCGCAGCCGGAAGTCGATGCAAATCAATGCAAAGTCCAAAAGATAGCCGAAAAACCGTCAGAATTCCGGGAAAAACAGTATCGTCATAACTCTAGAACAACTGTAGCTACGGCGCTGTAAGTCAGGATTGTTGTTATTTAGGGTCTGATACACTTCTGGTCCAAATTTTGGGCCGATTGGATGTAACACGGCGAAATACCAGATGGTTCGTTTTTTTTGGGACACCCTGTATGTCTTTCAAGGGTTTAATTTATCAAAGTTCGGAATTTTCGTTATTTTTACGGGTTTTTCGATGATTTTCGATAGAGCTTTGATAAAAATATACTGACAGTTTTTCTGGCAGCCCAAAATATTGTAATAGAACAAAATAATAGAAATAAATAAGGAAAATAAACCATGAAAACGGAATTGGAAAACTGGTTTTCGACATTTTTGCTATTTTTTCGGGATTTTGACGGGGCCGTTTGATAGAGCATCGAAAAATAGACTATTTCATAGCTCAAAAACAAGATTTTACGTGATTTCCGCATCGGAACATCGAGCGGGAAGCCAGTTTTCGGCATTTTCGGTATTTTTTTTGCAAAATTTCATGACGTTGCTTGGTACATCGTTCAGAAAGGTACAAAATTTCTTGATTCCAGGCAAAAATAACGTAAAATAGATTAATTAGGCCTGTAAAATAGAAAAAATGTAAAAAGCGAAAAATGTTTGGAAAAAATTGTAGAAAGCGGCTCGAATATATCTCTCATTGGGCTGTTCATCACAAAACCCGGCCGTCCCTATTTGCCAGTGGCCAGCCTGGCGTGTCTCGGGTAATTCGAACCGGCCCATTTTGCTGCCACCCAATTTCCATCCGGCCCTCTTTCGCAAGCCTGCTTTTGGCCCCAGGCGTGAATTTTGAGGGGTGGCCCCCCTAACACAGCGCGTGCCCTTCGTTTCGCATTCATTTGTCTTTTCCGGGCCGCGGGTCATTGCTGGGCCATACACGCCGTCTTTTTAGCCTTTTTCTGGGCCTCTACACGCATTATCTCCCCCTCGGCTTCATCCTCCCCCCTCGGCCACTCATATACGGAGACCGGGGGTAGACAACGGCTTTTCTGCCAGCACAACCAACGGGCAGGGATCGATGCTTCACCGCCACCACAGCCCCTGGTTTCCGGCCCTTTTCAGCGCGTGTACGCGCCCGCGCGCATGAATTTTATGAATCAGCTGGTAGGGGCCGTTTTTTCACTGCCTAGTCTTGAAAAATTTG